TATCACAACACCAACCGAGTGAGACGTTGCAGAGATATCTCCCTCTAGCGGGCAGACCGACGATGATTTATTTTTGTTAGGGCTAATGGAGCCAGTCTAGTGGGCCGTGAAATAGGTAATTCAAAATTACACCTCGTTCCTCCATCTCTCTCGCTCTTACAGGGTCGGGTTGAACCTCTGGTTGTGACGTTCATTAGCGGTTTTCAATGGCGACAATGGAAATAGTTGCCTTGAGTTGAGGGTTAAGAGATGCAGTTTGGACTTATGTAATGTAGGTGGGAATTGAATAAATGAATAAATGAAATTAGAAAGAATACAAATCAGACATCCATTTTATCCTACAAGGTCGTCAACTGGAATAACCTTAATTTGACTATGGAGTGACTTCTGGTAGACCCTGCCGGTTAAAGCAAATACCAGCTTCGCATTCAGCTACTCCAGAAAACCATATGCACATGTTTTTAGATAGGTTTAAATATTGTAACACAGTTTGACCTTGGAAAAAGCCTACCTTAACCTTGAATCAACCTCTGGATGACCTCATCTGGTAAAACAAATACCACATCTAGATTTGGTGGCCTCAAAAACGTACGGGTAAAGCTTTTCAAACGAATTCGGACACTCTTGACGAAATAACCTCGCCGAGTACCGAAAAACTTGTAGGCGGAGGTTTTCAAATAGATTGAAACAAGTTTGTAAGCTTTAACCTTGAAATAACATGGATGTGACCTTAAAATAGCATCTGGGTAACTTAGCGAGGCAAAACGATGCCAGATTTAAATTGAGTGACCTACGATACAATAATTTCCTTTCTCAAGAAATGTTAAGCATTTTTTCTAAATTTGACCTTGAAATTACTTCATACTTGACGCAACAGAGATCAACCGACCTGCGCATTGGGATCAGTGACCTCAGAAACCCTAGATACACATATGGGGTTCAGAGATGACTCATAAATTAAATATTAACCTGTGTAATTGCTAACAAGCATGAAACGACACCGTATAAGGTTGGTCATGGTTACAAAGGCGAAAAGAAAATAGATTCTATGCAGCCTGTGCTTGTGCCATCTTTGCACAGTATGCGACTGCTGATATCACGGTAAACACTTAGTGTTTCCTTTGATTTACGGCTAGAGACAGACGTAATGTGCATGTTCTACAATCGTGAACTCATTTGTATTGAAAAAGCCTACTGGCGCATACAAGCTAGACATGCGTACACGAAGGGATGTCAAGAAGACGGAGTATCCGTTTCCAACTCCGTATAGTCGTAGTCACCGTGCTTGGCGGTTACGTCATCAACGCCATATGAAATAAGTAAACAGATCGAGTCTCCGTACCGTGGGCGGATCTTAATTCTCTGAGGAAAACCGATTCAAAATTATTTACTAATCGTTATTCTCAAAAATCTTCTAATCTAGTACATAAATATGGGTAGAGTATCACACGCCATTGGATGTTTTTTAAAGTTGAAATAAAAATACATACGGAATTTAAAATATGATACAAAATTACACATCTATGAGTATTTGCTAATTTGATGGAACATTTAACATTGGATGTGAATATGTGACATGTAATTCTTCCATCTAAATAAATGACTGCTAGACAAAAAATTGTTTTGATGACCATGCTCTTAAGCTCGAGCTTTTTAAATCTATGTCGCCTTTATAAACTGCGCTTGTAACTTTCATATCTATCAACATATTTAACAGTCTACATTAAGGGGCATACAGAAAATAAAAAATTACAAATTTTCTAAATTGTCACAATAGAATTATTGGATTTCTTCATCAGAGTCATCTGAACTGTCTCCCAAGTGAATAATTATACTAGCCTCCTCCCTATTAAACGCTTGATGTTTTTAATCCAGTCCTCGGTATGTTTCACACACTTGGCCCAAACTGTAGGAGTCACCTTCGCTGGAGCATCGTTCTAAACTTTCAACACTTTTTTGTCTCCATAGCCATTTTCCCCAATATGACGATCATCGTATTGTTTGGCAATTTCCCATACTAACTCAATAGGGTTGTATTGACAATGGTAACAGGGGAGCCGCAAAAACTTGATATCCGTGTTCATGTAATATTTCGTCTATGATATATCTTGGAGCCGATGGTTTATCAAGGCGACATAAATTTAAAAGCTCGAGTTTAAAAGCGTCATCATCAAAATGTATATTTTTTGTCTTGCAGCTATTGCTTCAATTGCGTTTTACTCCAACTAGAATTGGGCATTATCCATGATTACTAAAGATGGCTCTTGTAACGCTGGTATCAGCTTCCCACATACCCATTTTTTGAAAGAATCTTTGTCCGTGGAATCGTGGTAGTCAGCACTTTTTGATTTTGTAGCAAATAACAATGCAGTATCTGACAAGAAACCGCTTGCCGGTACCCTGATGGCCGCTTTCCAAACTCTTGTTGTCTTGTCAAACTCGTTTAAACGACCCTTTGTTAAATATCCACGTTTCATCTATGAAAGCGCATTGGAGAGGGCTTGTACTATTGAGATTATTCATATAATGTTCTCATAAAATAGATACGTTTGGAAACAATGTCTGATTTTTTACACAAGAGTCTGCGGTTATCTTCTATCTTCAAGCTTTCAACAGACGCCTTAAATTTGAATGCGAGGCGTTGTACATGTACCTGTTTCTAAGCTCCTGATTGAGCGCAAAGGTCGTGGTATGTTGTCCTTTACTTCTCATAGCGTAGAAAGAGATACTGGTGGTTTTACTTTGACTCGCCTACAACTATATAATATTCGCAGTTCACTAAAATCTTTGTTAAGCCACTCTATTCGATCTATCGCTAAGACAAGTGTGGTTGTCTAAGAAGAAGCAGTGGAATGATATGAGCTGCTCCAGGGAAGAGACAAAAACGACGATTGTCTTTGTATGACTTGGATGTCGATTAGTCAATTTTAATTATATCTAAACCAGAACGCGTTTACAGTCCCGCGGCTCTCCAATTTTCCAAAACAATCATTGCAAGCACACAATATTGAGATGAACAAATGTAGAACATTAAGCGCACCGTTTCATCAGAATCCGACCCTGTTAACTCCATGAAAATAGGGCTCATATGTGAAATGTCCATTCGGGGCGTTACGAGAATGGAATTTTTGATTGTTATACGCTGACACCACTGCCAGGCTGTGACTTTTTTATTCATTGCAGGGTCGCTGAGGGAGATGACACACTTTGAACCTATATAATAGCCAATCATTTTTTTCCAGCGTTTCAGTTGGTGATCTGAAAAATGTTTTTTTTCACAATACAGTCATATTATATTTTCATGTAGCAAATACCTTCTATTTTCATTGAACTTTGCAAGTTCTTTGTATTCTGATGAATACACATAAAAAATGATCATTTTGTGATTCTTGAATTTCACTTGTGATTAAAGATGCGTTTGTGTGAAGATAGATCACTGTAAACAAAAACGTAAAGCATGGTCAGATATACTGAGCGCTCCATTAATGACAATTCCCAATCTGTCTCTAATGACAGACACATTCCTTAAAGCAATTAAAAATGCAGCTGTTACTCCAATAGGCAAGTCAGGAGATGCCAAGAGATATCAGTTATTTTTGTAAACCTACTGTACCAAGATATCCTGAACTCGCTTATAAACGATTTTCTTTCTCAACAGCTTGGTTTCTTGCCAGGTGTCTCAACTGTTACCAATTTAAGCAGAGGCAGCAGCTAAGGCTACAGAGGCAACAGTGGGATGTTATGTTTATAGATTGCTCCAAAGCTTTCAATAAGGTTGACCATGGTCAGCTGGTATTTAAACTGGGTAGATTTGTTTTTTTTTCCAAGTGCATGTAAATTTCTGTCATCTTATTTCACCCTGAGATCTCAATAGATCTGTATCTGGGGTACCGCAAGGTAGGAACCTTGATCATTTGCTATTCTGTATTTTCATTAACGACTTTTCAAACAGTGTAAACAATTCGGAATGCTCTATCTATGCTGACGACTTTAAAAAGGTTCAAACAGATAACATCATCTGAGGATTGTCATAAGCTGCAGAAGGATTTAGATTTGGTATCCAGTCGGTATGAACAACGATAGATGGCCGAAGAAGATATGGAATTGGATGCCTACTGAGGAGAGGAAACGCGGCCGGTCACCCAGGAGTTGGAAAACTGATGTCAGAGAATCCGTGAGGACAAGAAATCTTCAGGGGGTGACTGGGAGGATCAAAAACTGTAGTGATTGAGAAGCTAGAAACACATATGCAATGTTACGAAAGAAGTTTATTTCTCAAAAAAAAAGTAATAAAAGTCCTACAGAAATTAAGTTATAAACCTGAGTTTCAATAATAAATTGAAAAATAAATATCTGTATTTTGCGTTCATCGACGAGGTATAAGAACACGCATTGATAATTTATTGTTGTACCAGACAACTGACGAAAACAAAATACCAGGATTTTTTAGTTTTTTCAAACTGATAACGTGTAAATAACGTTTAATTTGTATCGTGGGTGGTCTGAATGAAAAACGGTCGATTTTTGTAAAGTTAAATAAGGAAATGTTTTGCGAGTTTATGTTTTTAATTGTTTATTAATAAAAAATGGCACATGAGTACACTAATGAGGAGTTAGTGGACATTATTTTAGCGTACGGAGAAGCAAAGCGGCTTCTATATTGTATGCACACCGATTTCTGAATAGGCACATACCACATCACGAAACTTTTAGTTCGATTGCTTTACCTGCACGTGCTAGTGGAGATTTGCGTCCCACACGGGGACTGGATGGGGGTCGGGTTCGCCCACAACGCGTTTTAAATGCCGAAGACAAAAAGTAAGTGAACTGTTAAACTGTATTACTCGTATTTTATTATCTCGATTTTTGTAAAACTCTTATTACATTTTTGTTTGTTATTTGAGAAATCAACTCCTTTCGTAACGGTGCATATGTGGTTAAAATTTGTCGGATAAGTTGTGAAACACCTTGTATATCCAGTTGGTTTCCATTAAAATAAGATGTCGTCAAATATCGTCAAATGTCAACTATTAGACGTAAAAAACAATGCATTAATTTTACAAAAGTGCAAGAATCTTGGAGACTCCTTCCAAACAAACTTAAAATTTGTCCAGCATTATGAAAACATTGTAAGTGAATCTTATAAACTTCTTGACTTTGTAATTAGGAATACAAAACATTTCAAGGATATGAATACGATAATAACTTTGTACAACACTCTAGCGAGTCTTAAAATACGCTTCAACTATTTGGTCGCCACAAACAATGAACCATATCGAGATGATTGAGATAGTGCAAAAGAGAATTCCTTAGATATTTGTATCCTAAAAAACATAATATATATATTTTGATGATCTCATATAGTAATGTGATGAGTGAATTTAAAATGGTCAAATTGAGTGATATGCGAAGTTTAAATGATGTTTTATTCCTTTAAAATGTCATTAACAACTTAAAATATCGGAAATGTGATCTAATTAAATACGTATTTGTAGTTCCTAAACTTCATCTAAGAATAAGAGGAAAAAAGTGTTCCAGTGCCAACAGTAAAGTAGCTTCTCCTACAAATAGGATGATGTATGAATGTAACACTCCTATGATATTAGATCTTTTTTGTGTCTTGGTTGGACAAATCAGGCCTGTGTTTCTAAGCGACGCATTACCTTGATGCTATTATTATATACTATTTTATACAGGGGTTCATTTGAAAACTTTCCACCATCGGATTTATCGAAAACCACCGATTAAAAGAAAAACACAGAGACACGTCAAAATATTTGTCAAAGGGGACAACGTTTTGACCAAAAACTACGAGTACTACCCTCGGGCCCCAGGGTCATTCACTTAAAAATTTTAAATGGCAAAGGGTATCTAGTAATTGCTTGTTTGAAAGGTCTGTCAAAGTTATTTATTTTTACGTTTCGTTTTTTTAAATCAGTCGATTCGTTTTTGAGAAAATTTGAAATATCTTTAATAACTTAATTTGTTCAGGTGAAAAACAAAAATACACGAAAATGTCACTTTTTATTTCAATAAGTGATCAAAATGTTGTTCGTCGTTTATAATTAAAAACGGAAACTACCAACACAAACAGCAATTCGGAAGAGTATACGTGGCAACAACCAAATATCAATCCGAATTTTTTTCCGAACTCTTTTCATCAACACATAATATCCTGGGTGAACTGTATTTATTGTTATACCTGTTTAGTCATTTGTTGCTAAGGGAAAGAAAGAATTTAATTTGCTGCCAGTTACCTTTGTGACTATCGTGGGATATTGAAAATTAATCATTGATTCAAATATTACATCCATAATGGTTTACACACTAGCCGAAAGATTGAAAATGGTTCTAGTTCATGGTGCCCAAAATCAATGTGCTCGGCATACTGCCATCACGTTTAACGCCAGATGTTCGGAGAAGATAACTTCGCATAGGTATTTTTTGGACCTTGTCACTGAATTTACTCAAACCGGATCTGTTGCAAATAAAAAGCATAATCACCGGAGAGTTTTGGATGAAGCCGCTCAAGTTGGAGTCTCGAGTCATTTTGGAATAAATCCTAATACTTCATTACGCAAAATTGTCCCTGCGACTGGTATTTCATTAGGCTCTGTACACACAGTTACTAAACTACATAAATTTCATCCATTCAAAATAAAAATATTGCAAGACTTAACCGATAGGCGAGGAGTTCTGTAAACGAATGACTGCATCGATTAATACTGTGCATGTAAAGAATATCTGCTTCAGTGATGAATGCACATTTTATTTAAATGGATTCTTTAATAAGCATAAGTGCAGTTTTTGGAGCAATGAAAACCCTCATGCTGCTGCAGAAGGGCATACCCAGTACCCCCAAAAAATTAATGTATAGACAGGCATTTTAGGAATTAAAGGGATTGGGATATTGTTTATTAATGGAATTTCCTGCAAGACGGCTGGGTTCTTCCGGTTCGGCAATGGCTAAACGACGAGTTTAAGATAAATTGATAGGGCGAAGAGGGCCTATAGAATGGCCTGCTAGGTCTCCTGATTTGACGTCATTAGACTTTTTTCTATGGGACCATTTGAAATCTATTGTATTTTCTCTCCAACCTAAAAGTTTGGATGAACTTCGTCAGCGCATCATAGAAAGCTGCCATGATATCCCACATCATGTTTTTGGAAATGTCCGTCACAAATTTGAACATCGCCCATATCATTGTTAGGCCAATAACGGGCAACATTTTGAACACTTATTCAAACAAAAAGTGATATTTTCGTGTGTTTTTGTTTTCTCTCTGAACAAATTAAAATAAATAAAGATTCTTTCAATTTTCTTGAAAACTAATTGAGCGATATTGAAAAATCAAACTTCGAAATACCTTTCAAACAAGCTATTACTCGATACCCCTTTAGAGTTTTCAAGGGGATGACCCTGAGGGGCAGAGGGTGAAAAGGGGTGAAGTTGTCTCCCTTGACAAATCTCTTGGCGTGTCTCGGCGTTTTTCCTTTAATTCAGTGGTTTTCGATAAATCCGTGCTGGGAAGTTTTCAAATGAACACCCTACCCTGTATATATTTTATGGGTTTTTCATTTGTAATTTATCTTCCCCGTGAGAGCGCTTATATTTAAGTACATGCGTATGTAAATAAGTCTAGTACATATCCTCTATTATACACATAGTTGACTTAGACTGTAAGCCTGAATAATCCATTTTTTATCATATACAGGTATGACTTATTAGTAGCAGTCGAGAGAGAAATAGATGCTACATTATCCTAGCAAAACAGCCAAACCAAACTAAGACCGTAAGTGTACGAAAATGTGGGATAAGTAAGACTTATACATCCAAACAGTCCTAATTTAACCAAAATCACAAAAATCTCTACAAAAATTTAATCTGCGAAATGAAATCATTGTTGTTGCTTCTTTTATTATCACATGTAATGTTTTTCAACTGTCTTATAAATTCCCTACATAAGGTTGACACCCTAACCCGATGACATTGCTTTATTGTAGGCATACGCGTTTTAACAATACTTTATAGTGGATATCGGCTTGACCAGTTATGCTGTTGAGACCTAGGCTAAGCAAGCATCTCCAGAACAAAGCAATGACTTATACGAGCGATGCCTTGAGACCGTTTCATAAAAAATTGTACTTTTTCAGACTTATAATAATATTATGACTAACTGGAAATGTGTTGAAAATAATAAAATAAGATCCAAGTCTTCTAGGAAATTAGTGGCATGGTCCGCATTATTCGGCATATCAGCAGGCAGGCTGATATACCTCCTCGCCCCTAAGATTTAACTTTGGGGAATTTGATTATAGTGAAGTTCGACTCTGGTTACTGGATACTCTAAGTTTTGAGGGTCTTCATCTCCATAGTGCGTAGACACCCAAAAATAATGCAGTATGCGATATTTTTACAAAAATTCTAGTATTTTTCTGAACTTTTGGCCTTGTGTGTATTTCTTGGTTGAATGCGGAAGATCCAGATGGACCCTACTCAACACTTCTCAATAGAGCCTTATTGAAGCTTCACTTATACCAGTCCATCTCTACATCTAGCAGGCTCTGCAAAAGAGCTGCAGAGCTTGTTTGTGTGCATCAGATAACGACATGGGGTAGTTTTTTCTTTTCTTTTTTTTTGTAGTGCACAGTCAGACAGACATAACGGATTGCTCATATACACGGAATTTTTAATCAACCAGATGAGGTATGAGGTGTGCCAAGGGAGAATATTAAAACAAGCGCGGGCTTGACATTCCGCCATGCTTTCCTACTTAATATCGCTTGCAGAAATATACTGCGCAGGAATTTCCACCTGTAATAACTCGCGGTTTATTAAATTCGCAAAATCGCCGTGTCCTGATAGAGAGAAATATGTGTGACTAGGTCAGCTAGAAATGAAACTTGTACATACAGAAAGGTGATATGCGTAAAACAATTAGTAAATAAAAGTGGAGGTTTCAGACTACAAAGTTAATTGATCACATTATTTTGTTCGCTTTAACGGCAACAGACTCACTATTAAAGAAAATTCTAAGGATCCTGTTAGTTTTTTGCTGTTATCTTTGGGATGCCCCGATTTGATAGAACCATGTGATCTTCTGGCCAAATGAAGTTGAATATGTATAAATTATTATTTACTAACGTTTGGGCAACCATTGTGATCTTCTTTAAAGTACAATGACATGTATTTCTTATACATATATCGCTTTTTTGTGCTGAACAGTATCTTAGTGTGTAGCTGTTTTGAAAACAATTCTGATATCAAAATTTTTTCATGCATAGATCACTGGTTATAGTTTGTAGCTGTCTTGGTGTATCGTGGAGAGCAAAGTCTTCGAATTTGAAATATAATAATTTTTTGGGGCCTACCTTTACCCTAAAGTGTGTTATCAAAGTAAAGTGTTTCTCTAGAAGACTGGCAGATTTGATTATTTATATGTGTTGGGCTCTGTCAAATAAACATTTTATAACACCCTGCTTTGATCTCAGTTTCTCGTTGAGCTCATTGAAATACCCTAAAATATCTAGCTCCAAATAGGGCTGCGCCAAAGGTTAGGAATTTTAATGAAATCGGTATATCAAATTACCCCATGAGTTTTAGTCACTTGATTCAGTAAACGAAGATAAAAAATTAAGAGACTTTAAGGCACATTTGTGAGGATTTTTTTTAAATATTCTTCATGTCTGTGATTTTCCCCAAACCCTGTTTGAATGAGAACGCAAATCACAAATTTAAGGTAACTTAATACAGGGTGACTTTGAAGTTGAGTCATTAATTTTCAGATAATGATTGTAGAAGGAAGATAAACCAAAATATGTGTGTAAAAATAAAAAAAAAATTAAAAAGAAAATTTTACCTTGTTTTATAAGGTATGCTCCCGACAAGTATTTCAGTGCGGACCTGTATTTGATCGTGAGGTCTTGGAGCACCGGCATGCCGTCCCCTGTGAGGTCTTAAGTCACCTGATTCACGAGCCCGTTGTACTACATTAACAAAGGCACGAGGGGTTGGTTGCACTCGATTGGGAAACCGATCCGCATAAACATGTGCCATTTTTTATTTCGTTTGAGCCACTCAACAGACACCACTATTCACTCACGCGTTACCGACTGACACTGACTGTATACAACTGAATAAAATAATTATAAAAACATCGTTCCAAATTCTTTCGCTTTTTTGTTTCCGATGCGATGAACCGATAAGGCGGATTATATCCGTGTTTGCCAAACACGAGCACATAATATTATTATTGAGACAGGGCGGTACTCAAACTTCCAAAGGGCTATAACTTTGTTACTTTAATTTTACCAGAAAAATGGTAAAGGAAAAAACATTTCTTTTGATCAGATCTACTCACTGTTAAAATAAATGACTCAACTTCGAAGTTGCTGGCAACAAACGTCAAAATTATAGTTTTTATTTTACACCCCAAATAAGGCTTTGCGACAGTTTAGGATTTTCTGGTGGTCATATTCAATATCGTATCTGAAATACAAATGAAAATTAAAAGTGAATTACTTCTGTATGTCGATTGCGTTGATGACAAATTTAATGGTCATATTAGAAACTCAATATCTTTACCCCCTCCGTATATATAGGTATATATAGATACATATTTTTTCAATTTCGTTAACGAAAGCCCATCACCTTGTATATAGGTGAAATTCTACCGTAAGCCGAGGAAAGTGTAGAGTCAATCAACTTGGCGCTGTCTCTAGGACATTCCCCTCGCCAACTCGTTCAGAACTATGGATTTTCAATAAGGTGGCTATTTATAATTTGCTACCATATAAAATATGAATGTGAACCTCTGAACTAGAATTAAGGAGTTGATGGCTAGATTCGAAATTGGTGTACAGTCTAATCATATTATACGAAAATACCCCTGGTTTGCGAAATAATTCTTAAGTCTGATTTTTCTTGATTCAGGTTGTTCAAGGAGGTATTTAAAACATTGGCGCATGAAATGGGTACACTAATTTATGTGGAAAAACCTTTATTTGACAACAAAGAATGAGAAAACGTGTTTTTTAGGATCGAAAAGAAAGTGTCGCCAGGAACGAAAAGCTCTTCATGTAAAGTTTTTAGTTATTTATGAGATCCCACGTAAAAAGATCCGAGTAATAGCAAAAAAAGTTATGGCCGAAAACCGAGGCAAACTGGAGTTTTTGGCACTTGTTGGTACTGCGACGATGGTTTCTCACAGATATTTGAAATTCTTCAAATTCGTAGGATTCGTACTTCTAAATAACCACAACAAAATTGGAGGAGATTGGTCAAGTAGCTTTTGAGAATTTCTAATTGTTTATCCCAAAAAACGTGTTTTCGGGCTATCACTACTAGTTTATTGAGCAATATACAGGGATAGGTACAAGGCAATTTATAGCTAAATATACTAGTTTACCTTGTCGATATAAATCGCAAGCAATTCAGGAAGATAAATGTTATTTTTATGGAAAAATGAGGGGTTACGTTTTTTCTTCTAAACAAATTCAAGCATTTCGTATTTGTGAGTAATTCGCATCAAAAGATGATAGACATATGCGCTTTATTTTAAAATGTGTATAGTAACGTATGTTTTTCGAATGCCTATCATCTTTTGTTGCGAATTACTCACAAACACGAAATGTTTGAATTGGTTTGGAAGAAAAAACATAACCTTTGTTTCTCACATAAAAATAACATTTATCTTTTGGGATGTGACTCATATCGGCAAGGTAAACCCTGTATATTGCTCAATAAGCTAGTAGTGATAGCTAGAAAACAGGTGATTTGGGATAAACAATTAAAAATTCTCAAAAAACTGCTTGACCAATATACTCCAATTTTGTTGTTGTTATTTACCAACAAGTGCCAAAACTTGCATTTTGCCTCCTTTTTCGGCCATAACATTTTTGCTTTATTCGGATATTTTTTCGTGAGGTCTCATTTTGTAAGTCTCATAAATACCAAAAATCTTATATAAAAAGTTTTTTCGTTCCTGCCAACACTTTCGATTGAATCCCAAAAGATACGTTTTCTCATTCTTTGTTGTCGAATAAAAAGTTTTCCCATAAAAATTGGTGTACCCATTTTATGCGTCCATGTTTTAAATAATTCCTTGAACAACTTGCACCCATAAAACCAGACTTCACAATCATTTCGGGGAAATTTGCTAATATGATTAGACTAGTACCAAATTACGTTAGTTTATGGAGTAGGTTTCATTTAGAAAGTTTAAGTGGATACTATTGAAAAAAGTTTAGCCGCGTATCTGCAATATAAATCTAACCGACTTCTCGGATGAACATGGCACGTGGATCGCAAATCTCAATCTTTACAATATTCGTATTGATTTCCTCGCTACCTTAAAGCAATCCCTGTGGTAAAACTGCTTAACGATGACTGTTAAATTAGACGTATACGACTGTTGGCCCCAAAGCCCTGAAGGTATAAATATGGGCGTAAATCTCGCAGAATTACCTGGCAGCCATTTTTTCCTCGTTATATTAAAGCTCGCGTCGTTTGTTTTTATTTGGGTGAAAGAATAAGGGTGCTCTGATAGTTAATTGGGCTCAAGATTATGTGGAGACTGTGATGTTTGTAAATGGACCTGGTGCAAAATACTACTCTCACAACTTAGGAAGAAGCATGCAGCTTCCATTTAAGCATTCACTTTGAATCATATTATGTCTATTTTGAGGGCATTTATATAGATTAGCCCATATTATGGAAACAAGGGAATTTATTTGGAGAGTGTTATTTTAACAACAAAAATGTTCCTGTTAAACAGACTCACATACATAATGACGTCACTCCTGTCATCTGTCACTACCAGTCAAGGACTTGCATGTCTCATTATTGTCATAGTTGTGATGTTAAACGATTTCGAGACGCGCTACACCTTACCTAATTTGCAGAGAGCAGCACAAGCCTCCGTCAAGTTTATGTTGCCGACAAACATTAAAATGTAAATATATAGGCTCGGCTCCCCTATTTGAAGTCGCTGGCCACCACCAAAGTCATCATTGACACACTACTTATAGTTTGAGCTATTTTTTCCAAAACAGGAGTTTTTTCTATACAGGGTTATCCAAATTAAGTGTCCACCATTAGTAACTTTGTTATTAGTGAAAATACAAAGTTGTTTGAATTAGCAAACTAGTAGCATTTTTAACGCTGGTAAAAATGAGAAATAAAAAAAAACAATTGAGAGTCGTTATT